GAGAGACCATTAATGTGGTTTTATGAGAGGAGGGACCAGACTGAAATATCATATTACAATTTACAGACCGGTTACTGTGCTGCTAGGTTCCCATTATTTATGAGTTGTTCCTGCCAGTACCCTGAAAGAGATCACTGTAGGAGAACCTTGCTGATGCACATGCCCCAAAGACACACGGACATGCTCAGGAGCTGCCCTCTCCTTGCTATTCAGCAGACACTGAGCTTGTGGTCCTGCATTCCTTGTGGATTCAGCTTCCCAGAGAGAGGCAGATCTCAATGAAATAGGCGAGAGAAGTTAAATTTTGGTTCTCTGATTTGTGATTTCATATAATACAAGAATAAGGGTGTTTTAATGAACAACAAAAAAAAATTTGAAAGGCAGTAATTTCAACAATGTGGTAATTAACGGGAGGAACTCACTTTCACAGGACATCATGGAGGCCATCTAAAAATGAATAAGCTAGATCTTTGAAGGACAATGATAATTATCTGCCACAATACATAATTTTTATATGGGATAAAAAGGTAAAGCCATGAATTATTATGCCTTTAGGTTGTAGGCAAATACATGTTTTATTTGTATTTATATGTATTTTATATGTAGAAATAGCTAATGAGGATTATATAATAAATCTTCTCCCTTAGGCTTATTGCTTTGTAATAATCCAGCACTGGTCTTTCATCTTCATTCAAATCATCTCTAACTTGCCACATGGCAGAGATGCAGTATTGGGTGAGATGGACCACAGGGGAGATCTGCTTCTAGCCAGTCCTACATTTCCAATTCACTTCACCAGCCTCAGCAGCAGTACAAGAAGGCACTTCTCATTCACTCTAAGGCTTCCTTTATTGCACTTATGCCTTGCAGAGAGGCCTTGACTTGTAAGCTTGAATTTATGTTCTATTTAATGGCCTTTTCCATCACCAAAGCAATATAGAGAACTTTAGCAAAAGTGATAATCAAGCTCAAGGAATGCAGGATATTGCATGCTTCAACAAAAGGATGTGTGCTACAGTCTGCATTTTCTCATCTGTATCATTTCCCTGGGTGTTTTGAAGGAAGCCTTTCAAGCACACTGAGAGAGATTCGCTCAAACATTGCCAGCAGCAGTTTCCAGATCACGGTGACTGCTATTCCTTTTGCAAAGGCATATTGTAGCAATATATGAAGCTTGAATATAGCTGTAACATTCAGATATTACAGTTGTTTCCAAGTAGCAAATAAGTATTTCAAAGATGGGAGGAAGAACTGCCAAAGAGAATCTAACACTTTAAAAGATAAAGGGGGTTATGTTTGAGCTTCTAAATTCAGAATGACCTGACAAGCACTTCAAGCCACATTTGCAGTCATGCTGCAAGTTGCTCCATGTTTTACAAGATCAAATCTGGAAGTCCAACAAAATCAGTTTATATTACAGGCAGTCATTTCTAAAGACCTAGGCCTAAATTCTTTGACAAGCGTTTCAGAATTCAATTTAGTTATTATGCCTTTGCTTTACTTTAAGAACTATGTTTATTGATTTTTTTAATTGGCATCATTCATTCATTCATTCATTCATTCATTCACAGCTTATCTTTAATTCACTTCAAATTTATTAGAACTTATAAAAATTAGCATTTCAAAGATAATGCTTTGATTTAGGGAAGGATGAAAACTGAAGGATTAAAATTTGGATAGTATTTGGATTTTGGTGGACGTAGATCCTGATTCTTATTTCATGTTTACTGGCATATCTCTTCTGGTATCAGAAGTATATTCCAGAATATGCTACATCTTGACTACAGTTCACCAGGTTTACAATGGCAAATTAAACAGCTTTTCCCCAAACCTCAGATGACAAATAAGCAGCTACATATTTGTAAGCTGGGTAAAATTGTTCACTAGTTCCTCATATGGGAGAATATTCTTTGATACAAACGATCTCAGGAAAAAACCTTCCTTTCCCCAAAGAAAAACCTTCAATCCTTTTGTCTAGGTTCACCTTCCTCATTTTCTTCTGCATTCTAGTCTCCAGAACCTTATTTTCTGTATAGATTTAGTGTGTCTAAATGGCAGATATCAGTTCTCCCTCTGTGTCTTGGGCTTTGTTTTTTCGTGTCTTGATTTACATGCCAGCGTTGCTTTTACCAGTGTGGTTATTAAAACAATATTTGTTAATGAACTTGTGCTCCTTCTCCAGCTCCTTGAACTACCCAAACAAGTTGGCAACAAAGAAAGACGTTACCTTATAAAAGACTGAATTGCTCTGGCACTCACCTCAAGGTCTCTCTATGCTGCATATTGCAGCCAAGAATCTGGGCTTCAGCATTTAGGATCTGCTGAACAGTACCTTGCAGGGTACAGAAAGATTCTGAGACTGAACCACCTGTCAGGTTTTTTCCCCCAAATAAATGGTAATGGAACAGGCACAGAACATATGGATGAAGTTACCTGTACTGAATCACAGGCATCTGATAGAGAAGCCGCAGGTGTAAAGAACATGCAAAATTGTATATGGAGATCTACCAAGTCAATACTCAGAAAGCTGTCCAGCATAAAAGAATGTCTCATGTGAAATGCTCAGTGTTCACAAGCAAAAAGTTTTGTAAACTTAAGAAAGCTTAATTTAAATATAGACACAAATGAAAGCTAAACTAGCAATTTTTCTTTTTTTCCTTTTTGCATATTTTTGTTAGGTGCTTCTTCTCTGCCTAAAATATGAAGTCCAGAGTGCAGTTGGTGTAAGTCCTCATACGGATTTCAAGCAAGACAAAGATAGTGTCAAACACTGATCCAACTGAACTAAGGACCTATGTACTTTGGGAGTTGGCTTTGGGGGAAAAATTCGTACACAGATACACAGAAGACAACTAGGGAGAACATCAGTCCAAACACAATAAAACAAAATACAAAACACCAACATATATATGCAGATCAGGAATCAATCTTTCACACTGATCCTACATTCCTTTCATAGCTTTGTCTATGCAGAGAATGTGGGATGTGGCCCTTCAGTCAGACTTTTTGCAAATGAAGGGAAGATTATTTGCAATGGTAACATTTTAAGTTGTTTTGGCATCAGCACAAATTACTGGGGGCAGGATCCGATTCCCACACAAATACGGAAGCTCTCTAGCGAGCAAGGCAGGGATGAGAGAACAATACAGCAGATTAATTCTTGTCCAGTGACCAAAAAGAAGGGAAATCCTAGTTATTACACACTTCAAAACTTTCATTACTTTTTCAAAGAAGAAAGACTACAGTTTATATCATCCCCAAAAACAAGGGAACATTGCTAGAAAAATCTCTTTCTCAAAAGGAAACGTCCTTCAGCAGAAATAAATTCTGAGATGGAACCAAAAAAGAAACAAGAGAAGCTTGGTAAGAGCCAAAAAGAGAACCATGTAATTCAAAAAAACAAAGTAGCAGTTCAAAAGATACTGCAGGATGCACAAAACTAGTAGATAATCTCACAGATGACTTCACAGAGCCCCTCATCGACCCAGGTAATTCTTGATTCCATTAGAAAACAGAGAGAATAATACTAGAAAAGAAAATAAAGAAAACATCCTTCCTCTTTTTTAAAATAAAAATCAAGATCATCTCCCCTCCCCCCCTCTATCTGGAAGCAGGTTAGCTAACCTTAACAGTCTCAATTTAAAATAAAATATATATTTTTATATATATTCATATATATAATAAAAGAGAAGATATTAGTGGCAGTGTATGCAAAACAAAAAAGAAAACAAAGAAAAATTACTTTTAACAATCTCACTTTTTTTGTTTTTTTACACAAATACTGTTGTAAATATATTAAAAAAATCAGCATTCTATCTGGTAAACGTCACTTTTGCCCCTCTATAAAATTTTGAATTAAAAAAGTCCCAACAACTCTTATTTTTTTTTAATTATTATTCCCCTCCCCTCCCACCCTCTATTCTTCTTTCTTCCACAAGAATAAATCCTGATGCATCTTTTTTTTTTTGCAAAGATTGTGGGAACTAACCCTTCTCTTGTACCTAGATCCATAGGTTGCAACCTCTGATATCTTTGATTTTCCTCTGTGTTTCTCTTTGCCTTCTGTGAAAGTCCCTCTTGATTGTGCTGAGGCCCTGTGCTCAGCGAAGACACTGAATAAATTACAAAAAAGCCACCGTTGCTCGTTGTCTGAATCTTCTTGGTTTCTGCTATAAGGTGGTGGTGGTACGAGAAAAGCAGCGGGGAGGGTGCACTGGACAGCGAGGCATGGAGCAGAATCCAGGTGAGGAACCTCTGATTCTTTTTCCTCACCCTGCAGGGACTCCACACTATCCAAGCCACACTGCCTCGCATTCCCCTCAGCCCTTTCTGTGTGTTTGTGGATGCGTGTGTGTGTGCGAAAGCAGACACGTGGTGGAAACCAGCAGGGCCTTGTTTCCTCTGGTTGCTGCTCAACCAGAAGCAAAATATTCCACAGTTCTAACTGGATACTGTGAAGTCCAAAAGCGGTCAGCAATGTGAATCATGTCCATTGAAACACTGCAAGCGGTGTACTTATAACGACAGTAGGCCTTGTAGATTTGTAATATATTTTGTTTTGTTTCTTTATTTGTAGTGCTCTTCACAAGTGAGAAAAAAGATTTTTTTTTAATTATTTTTGTCTGTTTTTTAAAATTTTTTTTGTGGTTTTTTTTTTTTTTTGTTGTTTGCTTTTTGTAGTAAAGAAGGGTTGTATTTAGAGGCCAGTAGCTAGAGATCCAACCAGTGGAGCTCATGAAGCACTACCTGGCCTTAAGGCCACCATCCGAGGGAGGCTGGGAAAATTATTATTCACCCAGCCTCCGGAAATGTAATGTACCAGCAGGCAAAAAACAGTTCTTCATGTAGTACAAAAAAACAACAAAACGAAATGAACCCAAAAAAGGAGGAAAATAAAGGTAAAAATGAAACAAAAATAATTTCTTAATTTCTAGTGCCATAGCTTTTTTTGTTGTTTCTATTTCTGTTGTTCATAACAAAGAGAGAGAGAGAGATTCTACTTATCCGTCTGACACATGCATCCTCATGTGGTCGTTGAAATGCTCGATTTGGTCAAACTTAGCTGGACAGACAGAGCAGACGTACGTGGTCCCCTCCGTGCAGGCCACCACGCCGGCGGGGACAGCCCTCGCGCCGGTGCCGGTGGCTCCAGGCGTGCCGTTGGTGGCACTGTGCAGAGCCACATGCCTCTCCAGCAGGGTCTTGTGGGAGAACTTCTTCTTGCAGATGTAGCACTCGTAGGACTTCTCCCCGCGGTGGAGACGCATGTGCACGTTAAGGGAGCTCTTCTGGGTGAAGCGCTTGTTGCAGATACTGCACTGGTAGGCCCTCACGCCAGTGTGTGTCACCATGTGTTTGATTAGGTAATCCTTTAAAGAGAAGGAGCGCCAACAGATGCTGCATTGGTGTGGTTTCTCACCTGCCCAGTACCAATGAGAGAGAGACAGAGAGACAGACAAAAAAAAAAAAATCATAAAATTAAACCAGTTCAGTAGAACTCTTTGCAATACACTAATGGTAAGCCTCATGGGGGTCTTTGGAGAGGTGCTCTGGCTAACAAAGAGTAAGTCTGTTAATCAGTGTGTTCTGACACACAGCATTTTTTGCAACCAGACGTTTCAAAATGCTTTACAAAGGGGGCATCAGGAATTCCCTATCCACATACAGCAAAAAGGAGCTCAGGTGATTTCTTCAAGTTCACACAGTAGGCAGACACTGACAAAGACAGGACTAGAGTTAAAAGGTCCTGGCATCTGCACCCAGTTTCAATGGCACAGCCTCTCCTGTCTATGCTCCTGTCTTGCCCCTCATGCTCATTTTTAGACAGGAAGGTCTCAATCATGTTACTTCACCTTCCAGTGCTTCTGTTTCCTTACCGGCATGCAATAAAAAAGGGACAAATCAGTGATTACCAGACAGCTGACCTGGCCCAGACTCATTTCAGTCAAATTGCTTTCAATTTCTCAGGAGAGCAGAGACAGAGATTGTCAGAGGAATCCAACACTTTATAAGAGGTTTACATTTGTTGCTCCCTTTTCTGGTCAAATGTCACAGCTGAAGCGTGTACAAGGAGTACTGGAAAAGGGAACCTCAGGATACAGAATTGCCTAGGCCAGTCAGCACCATGCAAAGGGCAACCTAACAGACAAACTTCCAGTGTAAGACACAGGAAACTTGAATGGTTTGACTGCCAGTTAAATCAAACACCTTATGAAGTAAACTAGGGAGATAAAACATATATGTCATCTTCCACATTGCCTTGTGTTCCTGGGACTGTTGTAAAACTTATTACAGAAACTCGTATAATTGAACTCTGATCATATTCAGACAAGCCAATGACTACAAGGATAAACTGGGAATAATACTTAGCTGAGCACATACACTGTTTTTTTCAGACTACTCTTAAATCCTCCTCATGCTCAGAGTTCTGAAAGATAAGGCATGGTCTCATGTTTCATGGTATCAAGCAATGTTTTCATGATATGCTGCTGCAATGATAATGTAGCCAACAACTAATACCCTGATTGCCCCATCAAAAGCTACTTTTAATTTGCTTTCTGAATCACTTGCAGTATATTTCAGGTGTGGAATCCATCATCACCAAAGCTGTCAGGGATAGAAATGGTACTCTAGCTCTGTAAGAATCAAAATGATCCTCCCTTTCACTGATTGAGAAAATTATTTGCCTGTGGTTATTCTGCCATTTCTCATATTTTTTTTCTCTACAAGACATCCTGCTTCTTTCTTTTTACAGTCTGTTTTGAACTGTTTTAAATCCTGAAGAGTCAATCTTCAGGGACCAAGACATGCCTGTGGTAATATATAATTCACTCATTGTATAGTGAGATTACCATATGCTACTTAAACTCAATTTTAAGAGGAGATAATTAAAATGGATTAGATGTGAAAGACCTACTTTTTTATCTCCCTCAAGTCTCTGTTTCTTTTTATTTCATGGTTTGCATGTATGACGCTGACATCCATGAATGAAATCCACTTGCTGCTCTTCCTTGCACTCGTGAGGAGTTTGTCCCTACTTGGTGAAAGACATTTGCTCAAAGCACTAAGTCCTTGCTTTCCTGATGGCTTTGCCACACACAGTACTGTGTTGTGTGTAGACAGGTCAACATGCATGACATGTGATGTGGAAAATGATAGCGTGTCAGTTAGAATAACGTCTGATTAACTTACAAGAGGCTGATTGTATTTATGGAGCTCATTTTTGCCTTGGGCAATATATGTCCCAGAGTTTGTACTAAGTTGGTCTCCTCCACTCTAGACCCTGTTAAGATTGTGCTATAAAAACATGTTAATTTTTGCCTGCTTATGTTTCTAAGATACACTGGGTTGTGGCTTTTTAATCTCAGCTTCAAAGTCTTCCTGGGATTTCTCCTCTCCAATGAATTGCAAAACTTCAGTTTTTCTTTTTTGTATGCAAATTTTTGTGCTTCCTAAGTGAGCACTGTAGATTCTTTATTCCCGTGATTCTTCATTTTCAAGTTCAGATAAAACTTTGCTCAGTGAATTAAAATGTGCATGTTCTTCCTTTTGCTTCTTTATTTTGTATTTGGCTGGTATTAAACTGCGATATGGGATGATTAGAAGAATAGGATCAGAGCATATCCTGAGTTGGAATGAGGAAGAAGCAATGTCAGCACCTGGCCATGGTTCCCTTTTCTAGCCCCTGTGCTCCTGGTGATGTAGGCTCTGTGGCTCTCTGAACCCCAACCGTAATGGATACCTGGTGCTGACACTGAGATCATGGAATCATAGAACCCTGAGTTGGAAGGGACTCCCAAGGATCATCAAATTCCACCTCCTGGTCCTGCACAGCACCACCCCAAAAATCACACCATGAGCCTGAGACCATTGCCCAAGAGCTTCTCATACTCTGCCAGGTTTGGTGCTGTGGCCACTTCCCTGGGGAACCTGTTCTGGTACCGACCAACCCCAAGCAAAGAGTGAAGAACCTTTTCCTAATATCTAATGTAAACCTACCCTGAGACAGGTTCATGCCATTCCCTTGTGTCCTATCACTGGACAAGAGAGAAAGGTCAGTTCCTGCCTCTGCACTTCCCCTCATGAGGAAGCTGTAGGTCACAATGAAGTTTCCCCTCAATCTCCTCCAGGCTGAAGCCAAGTGACCTCAGCCACTCCTCAAATGACTTGCCCCCATCCCATCACCATCCTATCACCAAATTAGAAAGGTGTGGAGGCAGCAATGTTGGTGCTCTGCTGTGATCCCCTTGGCACGTGATCCTCTTTTGCAGCCTTTAATCCAGTATTAATCACAGTGTGAAAGGTGGGAAAGGCAATGGTGCCTTATAAAGTGCAGACACTGCATACACTCTAGCACTGTATTTCCACAATATTGTGAGATATATTAAAGTGAGTCTACATGGAACATGGAAAAATAGCAATCTCTAATATGCTTGCAGCCATGTGAAAGAAGAAAAGGATGTCGGTTTCTGTTGCATGGAAAGTTAATCAGACTGTAGATTTTGGAAGCATAAAAACACATAGAGATATAGAGGCCTTTAAGTTACTGAATTCAGGTTTATGATTAGGCTCTTCCATGATTTCTCTTGTGAGTCCTCCAAACAGAAAGATTAATTCAAACATTTGCATCTCCCAAACCTCTCATTTTTTCTGTGGATCTTTTCCAGGGCCACTTTGCCGGGCTTCTTTCAACAGGCCTAAGGAAAAGTCACCCTGACAGTGGGAACAGGTCTCTCCCCTCTATTTTTGTAATGATCCTGTCCAGCACTAGACAAGGTAGCAGACAGACTTTCTCTGGAGCTGCACACATAATTATTTTCATGAGGGTTTTTTGAAGCCTTGCTCTCTGTAGGTTAAGGTGAAATTATTCTCCCAGTAGCCAGTTAGCTCCTAAATGAATTTTGAAATGATTTATCTATCCAAATCTTTCCTTGCCACTACAGTTCATTTTTTAGGGCATTCTCAGACCCACACAAATAAAATATTAATTCATGATTCAAGATGCCTATCAATTTCCTCGGTTGGTATTACTTGTAGTAGCTAAGAATGTTTTAGATCAGAAAAATACTTCCAGTATTATTCTTTATCTGACTTCAAAACCAAAGTGCAGTGGTAGGGGAAATAAAGTACCTAATCTCTGTGAAGTTATTTGTAAAACAGTCTTTTTAGCTTTTAGAACAAGAATGCAAGCAGATATATTTGACTGTGTTATGAAGGGGAAATTTTTCTGAATACCAACACTATCTATGTTGCATTTTAGTTCCTCATCCACAACAGAGAGATGGAGAACATAAACAGACACAGAGGTAATACTGGGATTCAGGACTCTTGATCCTTGCAATTATACATTTTGTACCAGTCCTGAGAAGTTGATCTTTTTGTATATGTACATGTCTGCTGTAGATGTCTAGAGGAGTTTTTCATTTAAGTGATAAATACAGGTAAATTGAAGTTAAAAGTTTACATATACACATGGAATTGAAATCTATTGCATCCAACAGAGAGGCATGTTGGGCAATGTTTCCAGGTTCTCCTCCATGTATCACAAACCTATCATTTATTTTAAGATCTGATGTTAACAAAGGCAGTGCTTGGTGAAAGAAATATTTACTCTTACTCTAAACTAGAATGTCTCTCCAACAGCAGGAAAAGCCAAGGGCTAAAGCAAGCAAAGCACTCCTGAACCCATGACAACTCCATGTAAAATACATATCCTTGCTTTGAAGTCTCATAACTTGGCAAAGCTAGAAAAGGCAGTTTTGGCTCAGTGGCAAATATGGTTACCTATGTTATCTCAACAGACCATAAACCATGTACTAAAGCAGCTGTAGTTTTAAACAGAAAGATGTTGATATTGTGTTCCATTGTGCTCCACATATATTCTTTAAATATTTTCTCAGTGAACCCTATGTTTCTGTATGCACAGCTAGTGATGCCTCTGATTTACCAAGAGACAAGGGATTACAGCAATTAGCCTCAGTGAAGTACAGAAACACTTTCTGACAAAACCCCAGATTTAATTTCTTATAGTAGTATGTGAGATCTAGAAAATCTGTGGCAGTGTGTGTAACGTCTGGGCCTGGACCTACTGGTGCAGCTCCACCAGCAGTGAATTTGCCTTAACCTCACCATTACTTTAGCTTAATTTGTAAACCCCATATCTGTAAAACCTACAGGGGGATGCTCTTTCTTAGTAGATATAGTTTTTTTTATGACCTATTAGTTTCCTCTCTTCCACTTAATGTTGCCTGATCAGTTTGCAGGGTACAATGAATGCTCACCATTTCCTTGGATGGATGCAAGATGCCTTTTACTTCAAGAGAAATGAACTTGTTTCTGTACCCTGCACAGTTAGGCCCCTATTTGGGATCTATATTTTTCTGCAGGGACTCAACTTCAGTGCAGTAACGCTAGGAAGTGTTCAGTGACACCAGCTCCCTGGATAAGCCTTCCCTCCTGTTTATCCTGGGGCCTGGCAGGCTGGTAAACAAAATCTAAGTACATGGTTGTGAAGGGCTTTCTGTGTTCCCACATGCAAGCCAAAGGGAAGCACTCTTACCTGTGTGTACAAACATGTGCTTGACGTAGTTCTGTTTGGCGGTGAAAGTCTTGTTACAGAGAGTGCACTCGTAAGGCTTTTTTTCGCCTTGCCCACCCGCTGTGCTGTGGCCCGCAGATGGGGCCAAGGGCTGCGGGGCTGGCAGCTGGGCAGTAAAGGTTGACAGGCCAGGCTGGGACACTGTCACAAACTGTGTCTGTTGGCCAGCTAAAGGCTGGGGCAGGCTGAAGAGAAAAGGCTTAGGGCCACTGCCAGCAGACTGCGTGGTGAAAAGGGCAGGCAGGTAGGTGTTGCCAGCTGTGCCAATGACCTGAGTGTTGCTGGTCAGAGTCAGTGGCATCCTCAGATTGCTGGTGAGGGTTTCTGTCTGGCGTAAGTAGATCTGTGTGGTTGGCAATGGTTGGGCAACAGATGTGTTGACAGAAGGCTGCAAAGCCCCCTTTTCGGTGCTGTTATTGACTGTGAGCACTTTGCTGTCCATTTCAACGTCATTGCTTCTCTCTGGTGAGGAAGAGTTGGCATCTACATGTTGCTGCTGCTGCTGCGGCTGAGTGCCATCAGCAGGGACATCATTTTGATCTGCTTGAGTAGGTTCTTGCTGCCCATCCCGGGCCAGTCCAGCTATAAACTGCTGCTCCACGGAATCAGGCTCAGTGCCAATGGAGGAACTGACACCCGAGTCAAAACTCTCCCCTTTGGGCTCGCTCTCAGTGCCTTCTGCTTGGTCAGTGTCCTCAGTGCATTCCTCAGACTCATTGCGCTCAAGGATCTGCACCCTCTGTTGGCCGTAGTAGTCATAGTCATCCTCCATCTCCTGTTTAATATGGATGTTGCCCATCAGGGTTTGGATTCGGACAGGGCGGGGCTGCTTCCGGCAGTGTGTGGTCTCTGGAGTGGTGGAGAGGTACCGCTCCATCTGCTGCGACCGTTCATGGATCCGGGTAATCCAGCTGGGGTCTTCTATGTGATGGTCCCTGGGGAGTCCCAGGGCTGTCTCATGGTGGCTGACCACAGCTCCACTGTAAAACGAGCGCTCCCCACTGCCATTTTGCATGGAACAGGCATAGAGGGCTGAATAGATCCTGTCCACACTGTGCTGTGAATGGCTCTGCAGGTAGCCAGACTCTGTGTCAGTGCTCTGCCCCGAGGTGCCTGATTCAGGTGTTCCCCTGGGTGTCTCTTGGCCAGAATCCTGAATCACTGGGTAGACATCGCCCACATTTTGTGAGACAATCCTTGTGCACTCATCAATCACAGTCTTGATCTGCAGGATGCTGGCGGCTGTGAGGATTTGGAGGGCCTCTGACTGGGAGACCCGCAGCACCCCGCTGTACATGAAGTCAATGAGCTTTTGCACAGACTGGACCGACACCACTGAGGGGATCTCGATGTCGCTGTAGCCCAGCAGCAGCTTGTCCTGGAAGAAGGGGCTGCCAGCCGCCAGCACGCAGCGGTGGGCGCGCAGCATGCTCCCGTGGATGCGGACCGTCACGTCACAGAAGTGGCCACGGTTGCGCTGCTCGTTGAGGGTCTCGAGCACAGAATTGCTGAAGTTGTGAAGGTTGATGCTATGAATGCGCTCTGTCATCCCCTTGCAACTGATGTTACCTGGAGCAAAGCAGGTGACAAAAGCAAACAAAAAAAAAGAACAGAATGAGTCTTGTCCTCTGCAGGGCCAGAGTGAGAGTGCTGGCAAAGGTAACTTCCCACTGTGTAAACAAAACTGATCGCACTGGAAAAACCACACACAGAGGCATCGGTAAGAACACATCATTTTGTAAGGCTACAAATAAACTTCCCTACTCATTTCCAGAAGCTCAAATCCTGAATCTTTGGACAAAACCAAATGAAGACAGGTGTAGCTGCATCTGAATTCCAACCATACTCCTGAGTCTTGGACTTCCTATCAGTTTATCTGGCTTTAAAAAGCTTAGAGCCAGCCAATTGTAAACACTGAGCACATGGATTAAAGCTAGATTTTAGGCTGTGGATTGGATTTATGCCAGAAGAGATCAGAATCTGTAATGACCCTAAGTTGTTATTGCAAAGATTTAATGCAATGATTTCAATCTAGATTGGTATTTTAAGGAATTTAGATCATGTGCTTCACAGTATAGTTACTTGTATCAAAAAAACTGGCAGTCACTTTGTAAAATCCAAATCTGGTTCAAGATTTAAGCTGTAAATGTTCTAAAATCCCACGCAGAGTTTTGTCTGGGGTTGTGGTTCAGAACATTTGCTACCCAATAGTGACAAACAGTTCTCTGAAAGAACCCAAAGCAAGAAGTTAACATGAGCTGTCCCTTTCATTTTTAGCATATCCCAAGTTCTGACTTGCACCAGACCGCCATCATATAAAAACAAATGTTCTCCTGCTGTTATTTACTTGACAGAAACTAGAAAATTACAGACATTTACTCCAAGGAAGATTTTGTCTTAGTTTGACTGAATAATCTAAATAGAGAACAGTTTAGAAAAGCATCTAACCAATTTGGATACAGAGCTAACATAATCAAAATTTACAAGTGACTAAAAAAAATTTCTTAATCTCCCAATCCATCTTCATCTTGCTTGCTTTGGTTTCAATGCTTTCCCATTTCCTTTCCTGTTCATCTACTTGGATTTTGACAGGCAGAAACTATGGTTTCACCTTTTAATGATAAAGTATCAATTGTCCCTTAAATGGTAAACAAATAAAACACTATTAATAATTCTTTTAAGCATTTCTAGTACATGTGGCACCTTGGTTTCTAGAAAATTAGGCAAAGTAATGCTGAATCGCCACTGGTATTACAGGCATTTTGTCATGCATATTCCTAGCAAAGATCTAACCACTATTGCCACAATAACTTGGTAATGTGTGAGCATCCAAAAGTAGAAGTTGGTAAGTGTGAGTAAATTAAACTAGCTTATTGTCACTGTCTAACAAATGTAAGAGCAAATAAATAGCACTGGAAGCAGTTGATAGGCATACACAGGCCTTTTAGCCCAGCAACGTCTCTCTGCCCCACCCGAAGGAATGCTTTACATCTCATCCACAGGCAGTTGAACACTTCTCACTGCAATTTGCAGGCAAATATGGCATGTTCCCTGCTCTGCTTTTTTTTTCCCCATTTATTCACTACCAACATCTCAAGGACCCTCTCTTCTGGTGGTTCCAAGAGAAACCACCAGGGACACAAGTGGTTATTTTAATTCTCTGAAGTAGCTGATGATTAAAGGGAAGCACAAAGGTCAGGAACTGGAAATCACAAAGGGGCCAAGCTGTCTCAAGAAGTCCCATGTTAACAGATGTAAACCAACCTGTACGAGAAGGTTACTAATTTCCAGGTGTGATTAGCATGCTGAGGGGGTGCTCACATAGAAGAAACAAGGAGGAAATCACTAACACCACGATGGAGGTTGTGAAATACATCTGTCTTGTTCATAAGCTTAGCCAGGAAACCTGAACTTCTTTCTCTAATGGACTGACCATAGGACTAGAAAAATATCTTGGAAACTGGCAGACCTTCCTTCAAGGGCATTGCAACTATTATCACACAAAATAATGTAGAGAAGAGATGTATTTCCTCCTCTTTCCTGATAGAGTAATTCTCCAGAGGCCTCCAGGGCAGTTCCAGATGCTTCCCTGTCAAACATGTCAGACCATACAAGAATCCAAAATCCAGCATGTATTTAGACACAAAGTCAGAATCCCTGGCAAAAACTTCATAGATATGGGGCAACAGAAGGGTGAAAAATTATTGATAAATAGGTGACACCTCTTTTGAAGACTTACTACAGGCCATAGCAAGTGACTGTACAACTACCCACTATCTTTGAGTAGTACCAGTGACTACCTGGTTTGCTCCTAGGACTCACTTTCACAAAAAGACATCTATCTCTATGTTCAGGTCTGTCAAAGGAGGTATTTGATAATAAGAAGAAATATGCAGCAGTCTAACCCAATAACCCAAAAATCCTATCTTGAATATGCACAATGTGGACTGTTCTACACACACCAGAGATGCTACAGACAGGTCACTTGATTTGAGAAAAGAAATCTACTTTGTTACTATGCTCCTTGGCAGATAAAATTAATTTTGTGAGCAGAACTCTGAAAAATGCATCCTTAGTGTTACAGATGGTAATGAGATAACTGGCTGCCACAATTAAGGGATAACTATTGTGTGAATATTAAGAAAAGCTTTAGTGATGTATAGATATGTTATTGTACTTTGGATGTCCTCTGTTCTCTGCACGGTTCCCTTTCCCCCCCACCATGTTGTGACCATCAGACAGCCGGGGCTGCCTAGGACAGAAGCTGTGCCATGTGCTCCTTGCATGGGCAGCTGGGAATGGAAAAGCTTGGCGCTTAGGGGGCAGCATGGCAACACCTGACCTCCAATCAAGTCACAAGAAAGCAGTCTCCAATGATAAATGGCAAAGAAGAACTGACTGACAGACTTTGGGAGGGGCCAGGGCTGGCTGATGCAACCCCCAGGGGTATAAAACACTGAGCATCCATCTTGAAGATGCACTGGCCATGAGGTATCTACAATGGCAGTTCCCAGTGCTGCAGCTTTTTCCTTATGTAGTCCTTTGTTGTATTTTTGTTAAGGTTTAATAAACCTTTTTAAATTTTCAAAGTGAGCAGTTGTTTCTCACGCTTAGGACAACTCCTTTCCAGAAAGGTGTGACATGCATCATGAGACTGAATGACTTCCTGGGAATGTGAATTCTGCCATTTACCCACAAATCATGTACAGAAAGGAGGAAGGGCAAGGTTCATCTATAAGTTTCAACAGCCCTTCTCAGGTCCTGGCTGTGGGAATCAAGAGTAGTATAGCCACAGAGTATTTGGTCCTGTCATAGTTTAACATGGGAGGAATTTAGGGAAATCCTTAGCAAACTTAATGAAAACAGGCAGTTGAAATTGATCCTGGCTACAAAAAAAAAAAGATTTACATGCATTTCCAAGAATGATGTAAATAGCTCTCCTATAGGAACTGAACTAGGATGCTCCTTGTGGTGTAGGAGCTGGTCTGAAAGCCAACTGAGCCACTTCATAAATGGCATTATTTTTTACTGATATTAGAGTTTGCCCTAAAAAGATCCTCTCATTGTTGGAACGTCTACCACTTCTTCAACTGAGAAGCAACTGAAATGTACTCCTTGAGTAGAAAGAAGAAGAGTGGTTGGATGAGATACACAATAAATAGTACAAAAAAGCTAATACAGATTTTGAGGATGATTTTTCTAGGCCACCTTCCTTGACATTCAACACTGTAAACCATATCTATCCCAAGTCCAGGCAAAGAAATAATTTGCATAAGTGTCAGAACCACTACTACACAAGCCACATCAGTATAAAGAGCAGTTTTAACAAATTCGAGGGATTGGTCTGTAGCAAAACCTTCTGTCCAAGGCAGATCCTTTCCCTCTTTGCATGAAGCTGGGTCCAGATCCAAGTTTTGTGGTCGACCCCTACTTCATGTTGTTCTAAGCTGAAAGTCCAAAGGTGATGTTGCCCACAAAACACAGACTTGCCAATGGAGGTTTGATTCTAAGTAAATGCCACATTCTGACAAAGACTCCTAGAGCCTTGGACAAGCCAGAAAGTGTGTCAGCTCCTCACAAGGCCCAGCTGCACACACACACACTCACCTACTCGTCACTGCACAGAATGCCCAGCTCAGGAAAAAGACTCCTGTCTAGGGCTCTCCTCAGGCCTGCCACTCTTTTAAACTCAAGACAGTGGGAAACTTTCTGTGAAATTCAAGTGGTCTTTGTTAAGTACTCGCTCTTTTTTTGTCCAGTAAACATGATGTAGAGATCCCAATGGACTTATTCTGAGAAACTCCTGTAAAATGGTTTTGTCCTCTTTCTGTGAAGCAAGTTCTGATTGGAGGAGTATTCACAAACCATATAGGAAAGAATGGGTGTGAAAATGCAAAGGCCATTCTTACCCAGATGGGCAATGAATAGGCATTTGCCAGTTAAAAAAAAAAAAAAAAGGCAGAAGAAAAAGAAAGGAAAAAAGCCCAGACAACTGCACAGATTATGCACATTTGAAATCCTCCTGGGATACAATTTGAAGCTGGCATGGTATAAAGGTGAAACATATTACTGTGCAACTTTGAAAAAAGCTTCATTTGCCCGTATGCAAATGTACCGATTAAACTGTCAGGCTATTCACAGAAACATGCATGGAATTCATCCTCAACTAGTAAGAAGGAGCACAACGGGGATGGGAAAGGAAAAAAACTTTTGTTGTGTAATACATGACTGAATGCTTAGATTAGTGTTTCCCTGAATCTCATCCACCCCTCCTGCTGACTTTTATGCTATGGGCATTCAAAATAAAGTAGGTTTTACCATGACAATAACAATGACAAGCTCTCCAAGTACAGTACCAAAGGGGAAGGCAATAGCAGAAGGAAACAGCAGGCAGTGGACTCCTGGAAGATGCCATAGAAAACTGGAAGTGCAGCAGTGAGTACATCAAGCACGGCATGAGGCAGTTTTCTATTTGCCAGAGTTACCCTACACAGACCTACATGAAGCTAGAAAGTAATGGCTCGAAATGGTGATTTTTTGTTTGTTTGTCAAAACCATAAAAAACAAAA